ATCCAAGTGATAGGAATGTATAAAGGAGAACCAACAGGGCTTAATGATAGACCGAATTTTGGAAACTAATGAAAAGATGTCAAAGGATGTCCCCTGCTGCTCTAGCTTGCACAAAGGAATGGATGTTGATATCATTCGCTGACACTGTGGTATTGAAGGATGATCAGATTTTGAAAGAGAGGAGGGTAGGTATCGAGTTGTTTTTTATTAAGTTGAGTTGGAGCTTCCTTGGACAAATGTCAAATAAAAGGATATACGGGTGTGTAACTCAGAGTAGAGTTCTTAGTGAAGAGAAAACTTATGAGTCTTCTGTAGATAAAATAATAGAGACAGATACAGAGAAATGATCTGGGAAGAGAATATAGGGCGTGAAGTCTAGAGGGTGAGGACCAACCCTTGAGAAACGGCAAATTGCTGGCCGTATGGGGAGTAAAAGTCCTCAATGGAAAAGTGAAAATAAACAGAAGCCAGCAGGATAGGAGGGATATCAAAAAATGTTCTGTCAGAGGCCCCAGAGAGCTTTCTAAAAAAACCCTCTGTGACAGCCCTCATACAGCAGTATTGCACTGTTGCTCACTAGCTCTCCCACTAGATTGGGAGTTTTATTAAGACAGTCATATTTTCTTCCTGCATTTTACTCACTATGTGGCCCACATTAAGCAGCCAACTAATATGTGTGGTATGTAAATGTATGTTGAAATCTGTTATTTGGTTAAAAAGATGTTACATCAGTTACCCAATTTTTTTAAAAAACGCCTTTGGAACATAATAGAATAGCTCATAATTTCATGCTAGAAAAGTTTTGACGCTATAGACAAAAAAAAAGTTGCCATTTTTTTTGAAGAAACAGTGTGGTCTCTTTCACTCCACAGTATAATGCAAGTGCATGACCTAAACATAGCTTAGTGAAAATGACTGGAAGTAGCTATAGTCTAGCAGCAATTGTACTAAAAGCTAGAAATGCAAGCACAATACAATTGAGGCTTAAAAAAATGAAAGAGTCTGAAGGGCTAAAGAGGCAACATATTTTCAGAGCCAGATCTTTTACGGAAATTGACAGCCAAGCTAGTAAGCAGAAACAAAATGCAAGGAGGCTGAGGAATGAGAAATTTGTGAACCAGAGCTCAATTTGGCTCCCACCTGCCCAAGATTCAGGAAGAGCTGACCGATGTCTAGTGAATGACATTGTTAATAAACAAGTTTACTTGTCAGAAAAACATGTAAAAATCATCAGTTTATTCATAATTACACATACATGAACATCCCACAGTTAACTACTTGGTTACTTTACAAGATATTTTCATTGTTCTTTAATTTGATTTCTTTCTTTTCTAAGTTCCAGGAGCTTGTGGAAAGCCTACTGACCATACTCTTGGTGCCCAAGCAGAGACTTCCTTAGGTTGGATGCACTCACCTACAAGACCACAGAGGCCATGAGGGACTTTGAGTATAGCAGAGTAACTAAGTCTTACTCAGTGCCAGCTAATACTACACTGGAAATAATAAGGGATGTTGGGAAGCTCTTTGGGGGACTATTGGGGCAGTTCTCAGTGCTTCATTTGCAGAGTAAAAAGAACATTTTTTGTGGGTAGATAGTACCCTAAAAAGTTCTGCACTAATGTAAACTTCTACTGATGTATATGGGAATGTGTGAAATTTACTTATAGCTGAAACAAAAATCGCACCTTAACCAAACTGGCTTCAGCAACTTTGTCAGTGAGGCTTTGCAAGTTACAAAAATAAATAAAATAAAATAAATCTTATGATCTGCATTGAGAAAATCTATCATGTTCTTTTGCCTCATTCTAACCTTGTCTCAAAAGTTTCAGAAATCACACATTACAATGAGGAGTTAGAAGTCTCCTATAAATCTAATCGTGTTATCTTCTCTTGCTTTCTCATCATTTCATATATTTTTTGCCTTATCTCTTTTGTCCTAGAGGTCTGTAATATCTATCTACTTCTCCTAGCTTTATTTTTAAACCTTCTAGAAAAGCACTAACTTAAACTTATTCCTCTTATATGAAAATTCATCAGTAATGCTCCCATTTATATTCCTTCATCACCCTTTCCATTTGTAAGCACATGGCATAATAACATGTTCTAGACTTTTCTGTTACCCTGCAGCAGTAAGGCTTTTTTAATATAAAATCTTTGTATCCCATAATTTTCTTCTGTCACCCATGCTGTGGATGTTTTGTTTCTAACACAGCTACCCTACAGGCACAGACACTCAATAATTTTCATTTCCTTCTCTTGTTCGACTTTGTCCCAATTTTTCATTTGTTCTCCAATTTTTCCCAACAGAGAAATATAAAAGTCAAGATACTTTCATTCAGTTTATTTTTTATGTGGAGAACCTAGACGCTTAACCCCCCACAGCAAGTATTCTTAAATTTTTGTTCTGATCAGTTCTCTTGGCTATGGGGTCCATCACTGCAACTTGACAACTAGTTTGTTGTAGCTACCGATCAGTCTTTCCTTCTCTTGCCAGAGGCCTAAATGCTAGTCAGACGTGGAACTATTAATTTCGGCTACTGTGGGTCAGACAGACTGTCCGTCAGGCTGCTCCCCGCAGGTGCTTCCACTGGAAGAGTCAGCAAGCAAGAGGCTACAAATCACTACCTCCGCAACATGCTCTATAAAATCAGGGCAGTCAGCAATTTGTTTGGGAGAGTCTGTGTGCTATTTACCCACAGAAGCCAAATAAATAATCCTAAAACTCTGAGAAGCACTGGGATGAAGAATGTTATTGCACTTTAACCTTGAATTTCCTACCCTTCTTAATTTGAGAATATTTTGTGTGTTGTGCACATGTAGAAAAACTGTTAGCATTCGATGACTCAATCTTAAAGAAAAGATCCTCTGGAACCTTGTACATTGAAACCCAAGGCTAATTCTTATGCATCTGAGATTAATAACCTTTAGACCACCAGGCAAGTCTTTCTGGGGCAAGGTTTTATCACTTTGTTTTCTCCAAACAGTGAGAGAGAGAGAGAAGAAAATCTTAACTCAAAAGGGAAAAAACTTTTTTGTGTTCAATATCAGTGATTTACAACATCCTCGAAGGCTCCAACCACTCACTAGGGGCCTGTATTACTCATGTCTGGAGGCGAGGATGATTGAGATAGCTGGATCCATCTCATAGAATTGTGTGGGAATTAAATTGCCCTTATCGAAATCAGGAATAACTTCTCTAAGCTTGGCCTCTCAATCTTTTGGGAGAAAATTAAGGCAATGAAGCTGTATTTTTTTTTAACATAAACAAACCTAGAGACCAATAAAACTATTATTTCAATCATCACATCATTTCAATACATTTAGAGATTGAAGCATCATAATAGACTCTGTGCTTGAAAGATGATCAGTTTTCTCATATATTCAAAAGTAAATAGATACCCTAACTTCTTGAGAGCAAGCACTGAGAATTCTGCCTTCGAATGATTGCCTTCTTTAATACAGGGGGGCATCAGATCCCTTATAACCTCTCCTAGAAATGATAGGCAGAGATAGCAGTTAATCAAACTTATCTCTTACAGAATATTTTTAAACAGCTGTCTCTCCCTGGTCTTTCACATTAATTTGAAGTAGGTTGGTTCAATTTTTTAATAGAGTGTACATGAAATTTTATAAAATCATATATTTTAGTTATAACAGTGATATGAAATGTATCTTTCTGAGAAAAACATAAGATTTTGATGGAACTGTCTTTATTCTTTTATTAAAACTTTGATGGGACTGATTTGTTAATCTCATATAAGAGAAGAAAAACTAAAAACTGCACATGTTGTAACTATCAAAGGGCTTCAGGTCTCTGAAGTGGAATCTGACCAAGGATATTCTGAGAAAATGGATAACACCTTATATGATGCACACACACAGGGTGGGGTGAAGGAGGTTTACAGTTGTTTATATGAGAAATAATACAGTAACTGATAAATAATAATATACAAACAAACCATGTTTCATATACAACTGTAAACCTACTTTTGCCCCACATTGTATATGTTAATATATTTTCACCTTACCTATTATTATTCTCACACATAGTCTTCAGTTTAATACCATCTGCCCACTGAATAAATAGCCAATGTTCACTGCCACAACTGAGCCTTCTAAGCTTTAATCCATGCTCAGCAATATCCTCCCACTCAAACATCCTTCTGGGCGAATGTGCCCTGATAGTCTCCTCTGCACTCCTACCTTTTACCATTCATTTGTTCTCTAGTTTCAATGGCATATGTGCATATTTTGTCTTGCAACTAATCTTATAAATTACTTTAGAGTAGAGAACAGACTTTTATCCCCCAGAGTGCCTAGCATAGTGTTAATAGCTTCACCCACTGCGAAGAGCTAGTTATCATGTTACAAACCTCACAGGTCCATGTAAATAGTTTGTGCCCAAATCAATGCCTATTTTAATTCTGGAAGTAAGGTTAGACAGTGTCTCAGGCTATCTGAGCTCTGTTTTGTCCCACATGCTATCAGACACTTGACAAATACAGAGAGGTGAACTAGGTAATGTGAACCCTCAACTAATTAAGGAGTTTATTGTGTATGTGTTCTTATAATGAATAATTAAGAGAAGCAGTTTGAGAGGCTCACCCATGCTAACGTACTAGGATTTGCAGTTGATTCGATTTCTCCTCTGTGTTTCTCCTCCTCTCCTCCTTTGAACAAATACACACACACAGCCACCACCCTTTATACTACACTTATAAGTAGTCCCATCAGGAGCCTCTGGGCTAGAAAATTATGACAGTGTTCTAGAACAGTGATAGAAAGATAATTTTAAAATAATTAACAAGAATAATTAGCATGGGGCCAAGGGAGGGCAGCTTTTATTTTATCACCTAGTTTAATGTGATTAAATGTACATAGAACACAAAATAGAAAAGTATCTATATATGACAATATGAAGAAATTACGATTTTTCATTTCCATTTTCTTTTCCTGCTTTCCTTTCCCATTGAAAGGCAGCAAGATGTAGTCACTGTGATCCTCGCGGCTTTTTGAAAAATGCCAGCCAGCAAGCATCTCTCCATCTGACCGATGATACAACAATACAGCTCAAAGGAAAACGCGGAAGGCGAACATAAGGACCCGTCAGCATAGTGCTCCCATTGCATGTGTATTAGGTGATTACTTTGGCCCCAGCTAAGGAAGAGAAAGAAAAAGGTGAAGGCACTGAGCATCAATAGGATTTTTACTTGTTTTTGCTTATTGTGTTTGACTTTCCTGAGAGCAAGACTAAACTATGTGGGTAAAAGAACAGAGTCTTTGACACTCACTTGTAGCCAGTAAGGTGTTCCCAGCACTGACTGTCTTATAATTGGACAAGACAGCACACAATTTTATCTAGTAATTTCCCTGTTACAAGGAAGCCGTACACATCAAGAATGGTCCCCTGCTGAGAGAAAAGCCCTTAGTTAAACAAGTAGGTCAGCCAGGAAGAGCACGCTTTGCAGTCAGACGGACCAGGCTGAAACACTAGCCCTCATCACATACTAGTACTTGTTAAGTGACCTTGGGCAAGATACTTTTTCCCTCTGAACTGAGAATCTCTTTAAAATTTTCATAATAATACCTACCAGGCCTGATATTGGTGTTATCATTTATTTGAATGCTACTCTTTTTTTGTCACAATACTTGTTTTTATTATCAGGTATCTTAACCTCTCTGAATATGCTCCCCCACCTGCAAAATGTAGGTAATACTTATAAGATTAGTATGAGAATTAGGCCCTGGCTAGCATAACTCAGTGGATTGAGCGGGGGCCTGCGAACCAAAGGATTGCAGTTCGATTCCCAGTCAGGGCACATGCCTGGGTTGCAGGCCAGTTCCCAGGAGAGGGCGCATGAGAGGCAACCATACATTGATGTTTCTCTCCCTCTCTCCTTCCCTTCCCCTCTAAAGATAAATAAATAAAATCTTTAAAAAAAGAATTAAATGAGGTCCTTAAGAAAAGATATCATTTATTCAAAACCCATTGGATGAAAAACTATGAAATATTAGAAAGTAACCAATATCTTGACTTTATTGACAGAAGAAAAACCCCTAAAGTTATGATATAGCCATAGATAAAGGCACCAGGACAGTGCCCTTTGTGTATTCGAAGGATTTGAATGTAGCAGACCTTGGTTACTTTTGTTTGTTTAGTAGGTTTTTGTTTTGTTTCTTCACTTACAAATGCAGGAAAACAAGCTGTCTTCTAAGCACTAGATATTTGCTAAGGCATAAAAATGTAATTAACACATCATCACACAATTCTGTTTCTCCGAGAACTTGATGGTACTGGGGAACTAGGAAATAGAATAAATGAAGTGGGTGAAGGCTTTAACAGTGATTGTAATGGCAGACGAGAAATAATTTGTGAAAATTTGTATTCTTCAGATGAGTTTTTGAGATGCAATTTGCCTAGAGGATATTTGAGATGGAAAATGGAGAATGACGGGCCAATGATATCAGGGAATGTGAAAATGACTGACTGACCTGTCTGAAGTTAACATCTCAAAGAGTTTATAGAAATTTGTATTAATCATATTAGGAAATTCACTTCCCAGTAGCCGTGGTTCCCCAGGAGTCACCAAATTTTAACAGAATCCAGCCTTGGCTTTTGGAGCCTAAAATTTTTTTATCAGCCTAATGCTCTCTGTTAGCATGGTCATTCAGACATTTAACAGGTATTTTTAAGCACACACCCTGTGCCTGTCATTGCCCTCCCAGACTTGTAGCCTAGTGAGGGCAGAGGCAGCAAGAAGCTATCTCAAGTTGAGCTCAAATAAGTCAACATTAAAAACGTGTTACACAGATAAAAACCCCCAACCCTATAGCCACCAACATCTCATAATAAACGGCAGCGGTACTATCCGAGAGGGAAAGATTGGAAGTGCAAATGAGTCTTTTCCCTCTAAGTAAGAGATGTTTGTCCTTGGTGGTTTCAGGCAGTTACTTTTTCCTCGTGAGATCTTGGCACCTTGTTATACAGCATGACCCATTAGCTCTGCAAAAGCCCCAGCTGGATCTGATTGTTCCCAACATGTTAGAAATAAGAATAATTTTCAAATTTTCCATGTCCAAAAATAGTCTAAACATTCCAGCTCAGGTGATATCTACTCACCTTTGAATTTGGTGCCTGAAATAAAGTTCCAAGATAGAAGAGAACAAAGGAAGTTCGTGGATGATAAGAAAATATTTACAGAGGAGCAAAAGAGGCAATACAGAGTTCGGCAGTCTGGCTGCCTCTATAAACTGAGTGTTCCTCATAGTTCATTCCAATTCTGCCCGCTTTCAAAACACCCACAACTGTTAGATAAAAGAGAGCTAACAGTTGGAGGATATTAAAGCTGATTACCAATAGATTGCTTTAACATGCAAAGCAATTAGGAATCACTAAAGAGTATTAACATGATAGGCTGATGCTTTGTGTACCAATGGTAATTCTGAATCTGTGAAAGTTAACCCCATCTGCAGCCACCCTTAGACACTGTGATTCAGGACTTCAAGAATGGTATTTGCCATTCACCCCACTCCCTCTTCAGATGAAAAATTTCCAGGCCTGAACCTGTCCAACTAAACGGCTGCCTCCCACTTTGCTAGTCTACTGTGATTTGCCGAGAACAACAAGCAGAACAGTTTTCTGTTAAAGTCACTAAACTGATGATTTCCCATCTCATAGAATCTTTAACACTGCCAAATAATCTGTATCTGTCTGTCCACATTTATCCCTAGCTCCCATCTCCTCAGCTGTTAGGACAAAATCTCATTTGAGCATTGTCTGCTATCACTTCCCTCATCACTCTGAGATGACCACACAGCTTCCTAGATCACATGTTAAAAAAAGCCAATGAGAATTCATTCTCTCAGTTTCATTTGGCTATCCTGATACACTAGATATCCCCACTATCCTTCCCTCCTTTCTTCCTACCTGAGATGAAGGTTCTCCAAGGTCGGTCCGTGCAAATTCTTCAGCTGGTAATCTCCCCTTGGTATGTGACTCCGTCAATGATTCCATCACTCTCCTGTATTTCAGTCTTTTCCTGTCTAGCAGTTGCCTATAAGTATATTCAAATATCTCCTACTTAAAAAAAGGCACAGTCCTATAATTTGTTACTTATCTTAATACATATTTGAAAAATTGCAACTTTAAGAATGGATTTTCTTCACCATAAAAGTAACAGTACTAATTAGTCAATGGGTTCTTACCAAATAAAATAAAAATTCTGTAACATAGCATACTACCTTTCTCATTGTCCTCCACTCAAGCCTTTGTCCTCATCTACTACCCATCTCTCCCTTAGGTGCCCCGAGGACATTCTGTATTGTCAATCGGCACTACAATGTTTTGTTCTTCCTGGATTATAACCCAGGTTATAAAAGAGTGGTCTTGGGTAATTCTCAGAATAAAAAGATGGGTAGGGCAACAATCTGACTTGTTGATCATGTCTGTAAAAAAGTTTTGTAGTTAATCTATAGGCAATAGTAATTACTAAAGCTTTGTAAACAGGGGACTAATACTGAATTTTAATACAGATCACTGAATTTGAGAAGAGATTTGAAGAGGACAATGATACAGAATGGTATAACCAGTCCAATTCTTGCTAAGGTTGTCTAAGGAAGAGCTGATGGGGGCCTGAAATAGAGTCATAGCCATTGAGATATGACCTCGAAGAGGCCCAAAGAGCAATGTTATAGAGACCAGAGCTAAAAGAGAATATATCTTCACAGAAACCAAGAGTACAGGAGTCCAGCATGAGGACAGACGATCCTGGCATGTGGCCACTGGATTTGACAATTCAGGAACCAGTTTTAACCTAAACAGCAGCAGCTATAATAGAGTAGAAGCAGAAATAAAAATGCAGAATTGAGGAATGAATGGGAAACAGGGAGTCAGTCAATTAGTGGCGAGTATTTCCAAGAATTTTAAATAAAATGGAAGTGAAATAGATCAGACAGTTCTAGAAGCTCTATGAAGTCAAGGGGTTGGTGAGTGTGAAAAAGAGATTTGTATGTTTATAGGCTAAAGAAGAGCTTGAAAAACTTTTTCTTAGAAGATCACATAGTAAATATTTTAGGCTTCGAGGCCACAAGGTCTCTACTGCAACTATTCAGCTCTGCTGTAGTAGCACAAAGCAGCCAGAAACAGTACATGAACAAAAGGGTGCAGCTGTGTTCCTGTAACTTGATTTACAAAATAGAAAGGTGTGAAGAGAGGGTGGAAGGAGGCCCTCTGGCAGTAGTTTGCTGGCCCCTATGTGACCTCAGACAGACAGGGGGGTGGGATTCAGGGCAGAGCCTGGCCTTAAACAAGAGGAAAAGAAAATACTGATGTACACCCATCTAGAGGCTGGCTTAGCATGAACTAAAAGCTTGAATACTTTGTCAAAATGGCAATTCAGTCTTTTAAAATGATAAAGAGGCATATAAAAAAGTGAACCCAGCTGTTTCTAAAATGGCTCTTTAGAAAACGCTAAAGAACGAAATATTTACTAAGTCGAATTGAAATAATTTGGATATTTTAAATTCTCGATCATGATCCATCTAGTAGGAACCCTAAGAAATGGTGAAATGGCATTAATGATAGTAACAAGGACCTCCCCCTTACATGGTGCCTGAACTTGTTAAAACACAAACTCATCACTGCCTGCTCTGAAAGGAAGGTCTGATTTAAAAAGAAGAGTCCCATTATTCTCTTTCAACCCTGGATCTACAGATAGCTTACTTGAAAAGCTGATTGTGGAATTGCGGCTTATTTCCATGACTAAAGCAATCTGATTAAGTTCCTATAGGCTTTAGATAATCATCCAAGCTTTTTGATTCTTATAATCAGGTCAGGGCTTCAATCAATGAAGCTCTCCTGAAACTATTCACTGCTTTAAGAATCTAGACAGACAGGATAGTACCTAAAAACAAGAACTGCAGTCATGCTGAGCAAAAAAGCATTTTAAGATAGTTTCCTTGTTACAGCTTAAACAATATGACAACAAAGAACGAGGAGGACGTGAACGCTCACATATTAGTGCATAATTCACAGGGCATATCTGTAGGACAAAGTGGGGCGATTCTATACGTTACTGATTTTCTAATCATTGCAATGGTCTTTCATTGAGACAGGTACACTCATCACCCTCATCATAACTAAGGTGTCTGAGCTTCTGTAGCTTTTCTGACACAGTCAGAATTTGCTTGGTGAATTATTTTGCCATCTTAAATTATGTGAATAGTTATTATGACATTCTCCTAGCAAGGCAATCTCCTCTTCTGTAAAAAAAAAGAAAAAGAAAAAGAGAGCTGGTTGGATAATAGAGTCTTTTGCTCACACTCCCACTCACTCTCCTACACACGCACTGGCCCATCCCCTCACCATCAATTAAATTGTCTTTTGAGGACAGAGGAGCAGGGTGGTGGGTATTTGGTGGCAAAGATCAGTGATGCCAGAGTTTTACAATGCTCTAATGTCTGTCAGGGGACACACTGAAGACTTTAACTTTTCTCTACGGCTGTTCTGCTGAATGGCTGTGGGGAAAAGCAGTAGGCAGCCCTTCTCTGCTGTGGATGACAGAAAAATAGAAAAGGAAGAAAAACATGTTGGGAAGCAAAGAGGTGAGGGCGTGGGAGAAACAGGCAAACAACAAATAAATCTCTAGGTGGTGTTTTGGATTGATAGATAGTACTTCACCCTGAAGCATTTCTCAAAACCCGCACAGGCAGTTTCACCAAAGAAATGTAAACCCTTCAGAAATAGAAGAAAAAAGGCAAGGAGCCTAATGATGAAAAAGGAAAGGGAGTATGGAGTATTTTGGACCAATTTCAGTTGATCAAAACAACATTACAGAAAGGACCATGAGTTCTTCAGTTCCCTCAAGGTTCAGGTAAATGCTCATTTTTCACAGCCTCATCCTTCCAGTATTTCATCTGGTTGGTCCAAAGGTTGAGTCACAGCCCTGCTGGGAATAGAATCTGTCCCAGAAATCACGCAATAACAGATGTTACAGTCATTCCACTAAATTACACGCTAGGAAAACCTTGACTCACCCTATCGCTTTCTTTCCTCCATGCTCAGAATCTGAACCTGGCTCCAAACATCCATTTTATGGTGTCATCTCCCTAAAATCAGGAAGCTCTGAAGCCCTTAAAAGATTTTAAAAGTTCATGTGCCGCTAGGATGAGACACCAAAACCACAGCTCTAAATAAAAATGTCCACTGCAACCAAAATACCTTGATCCAAAATACCACCCACAAAACTTCATAAGGCCTCTCTGTCAGCGCCACTATGCTGCTCCATCATTTCTTATGACTGATAAGCCTTTCTAAGCCATTCTCCTTTACCCAGTGCTTTCGCATAGCATCACATTTCCACAACAAACTTTTTCAAAAGTTGCTACACTCATGTGTGACCCCTATTTTGCAGGTTATTCCACCACATAAGCACAAAACGAAATGTTTTGAATCTTCTCGCACTTGTTCTTTGTGAATGCAAGCATCCTACAAATTTCATGGCAAATATTCTAAGAATCAGTATAGGTTGCTGTTTTGTTTTTTCTACACATAAACTAAGAATTAATCAATCCTCTTGGCCACCACTATTTGCCTGTCCTCCTGTGTTATGGTTCATGTGTTGTATAGCCAATAGCTGCCTCACTCCTCCAAAAACATGACCACCATCACTACTGGTCAGGACCCCCATGACTGCTGATGTCTGCCGTAGGCACTGCTCTTTTAGTTGTTCTTCTCCGCATCAGAAATTATGCTGAAACTATGTCAGCATCAGAAATCAATACCATATCTGATGCCTAACAGTAAGCCACCTTCACTAACTCTATCATTTTTATAACCCACACTACCATCTTCAGTGGTACAAATGCCCTTGTCAAGGCAGCAACCATTGTAACCAATAATGCTACCAAGCCCGTACCCCTAATATACTACCATCCTTCTGAGGCCCAGTGTTTACTTTATTATGAATCTGGTGATAGCACCAATGAAAAGTGTCTTTTTAGCCACCATCAGTTTTTTACTGTATCCTTCTTACATTAGAACCAAGTAATAAGTCTACTCAGTGTTGGACTGATAGATGGATGCATGACCAACTTTGTTGCAACAACATAACAATCTAGGACACATTCTTCGGGACGCTTTTCCTTGTCCCCACATCCAATATATCATTAGGGCTACTAATACTTCCAGATCATGTCCAGAATCCAACTACTGCCCTTTATTTCTATCTCTACTACTCTCATTCAAGTCGTGATCATCTTCAGTCTAAACTTTGAAATAACCCTGAATCAGGCTCCCTGCTTTCATTCTTGTCTTCCTGAAATCCATTCTTCACACATCAGCTAAAAAGAGAATTTTATAAATAAAATGCTGATCATATTGCTTCCTTGCTTAGAGCCCTCCAAAGTGTCGCTGCCTTACTCTGGCTTGTAAAATGCCATGTGACATATGTCAGCTAAGCTCTTCAACTTCACACTACCTTGAATACACCAGTGTGTCTACAGCCACTTTGGCTTTCTCTCTATTCCACAAATACGCTAAACTCATTTCATCCTGAGAGTTCTTGCATTAGCTATTTCTTTTGGCTTATAATGTTCCCCCCAATTTTTATGTGGCTCCTCTTTCTTCAGAGAACTATTCCCTGACCAGCTAAGCCTCCCAGTCATTGTCTTTTTATTGTATTTTAATGAAATTTGCTTCAAAGCTAAATTTCACTAAAAAGCAATTAACACTCAATTTTTCTTATTCATCCACTTGTTTATTTGAGTGGTGTTTATAAATATAGACTATATATATATATATATATATATATACACACACAATACATTAATGTAAAATAAAAATCTTCAACCACAATGTCTATAGGATCATATAAACAATCTGCTTCAGAGAAAAGTGTATGGATTCCCCAAATAAGTAACAAATCAGTAATTGACATGACCAGTCCCAGAGGATATAAATGCTAGGAAATTCAATCAACATTAAAACATCTCTGCCCAACCTAAACCTGCTGTAAGAATTCTATAGTAGAGAAGAGAGGCATGAACAGGTTCTTCC